TGTCTATCAACAAACTTTTATCTCGTGTACTTTCAGTCAACTCAGACACAGATGATCCTTATTGCCATGATGTCAAACTGTCCAGCATATTTTCTCTCGGTCTCCCTCTGCCTCTCCTCTCCTCCAACTGTCCTACTGTCACAATGTACTCTGGTTTTTTTCTTCTCATCACATGACCAAAGAATGTAGATTGTCTCTTTCTGATGTGGGCAATCAGTTCTCTTCGTAAGTCAGTTTCTTTCAAGACATCCTCATAACTCTTTTTTAACTGTCCAGGATATTATCATTATTCGTGTATAAAACCACATCTCCTCAGCTTTCAAATATATAGGTTTTCACTCATTTATCAACTGTCCATGATTCCCTTCCATACATCAGTATAGGATTTACATAGCTTTCAAGAATTCTCTTGCTCGTCTCAATTGACAAAGAAAGATTGCATTAAACATTCTTCATTGTTTGCTTGAGCTATTCGACATTTAACTTCTTTAATAGCTCACTAGGAAAACCGGAATTAAAAAACAAAATATGAGAAGATAAATTATTAGAAAACAAAGTAAACTAAAAAGAAATGGTAAATGGACGATAGGGTCAATAGCAGCAGTCACCTTTTTTCTTTTGATATATCTTGTATTTATTTTAGGCTGGGAAAGTTCTTAGGATATTTTCTGGTATTCATTTTAGGCTGTGACAGCCTGGGTGACAGGCCATTTTTAAAATTCCACTTCTATGCGGTTTATAACTTAAGCCTGTCAGACATGTAGCCAAGCATATAGTCATTGTATTTCAATGGATCACTTTCTTCTAAAATATTTTCTTTTAAAACCTCATTTGAAAAAGCAGGTGATAAATGCTCTTTCTCGTACCAAATTGGTGTAGAAAAATATAAACATAACTTTATCGCATGTGAGAGGAGGTGTATGAGAAATGCATCGGGAAATCGAGGAGAGAAGTCAGTCACCAAAGAAGAACTATCAACAATAGTAAGCACAGTGCTGGTAAATAATTTCATAGGCATAAAAGAATTAAATCGTTTGGTCATCTGGCCAGTCAGCTACTAGAGGGTACTACATGAGAAGAACAGGCTACCAATGAAGAAGATGGCCAAGAATGTATTTCTCGCCACAATGTTCTAGGATGGCCTGACGTTGTCCCCTCCCCCCCCCCCCCCGCCCACCTAGTGTTGACTGGTCTATAAATTGAAGTTAAAGGGATATGAAGGGAATCACGTGGATATACTGTCTGCGATTTGCAGGAGTGCGAAGGAATGAAACAGCGGAAAGCCAAAGCTCTGTAACACTCGTATCGGACAAGGAAGCTATTCTGAAGAGTATATATGAACGACTTTTCGCAGAAGATACGAGATTAGGTGAAATAACATGAGCAACAATTTGTGAACGAGGAATTATGTGTGGATCCGCCAAGAAGGGACGGGTGAGAGAGAAGAGATCGGCATATATATATATATATATATATATATATATATATATATATATATATATATATATATATATATATATATATATATATATATATATATATATATATATATGATCAGTGTTCTACGGGAAAAATTAGCATCTACACCTTACTTCATTTTGTGAAGGAGACGGAGCATCTATAGGTATGCTCGGTGTGCTATGGGGGTCGATTCTCAAATCAGTAGTCAGTAATATGTATTTCTTCTTTTATTTTCTCTGTGCGTTCACCAGCTGTAAACTCCAGCGCAAAGTTCTTGTTGCCCCCCCCCCCCACCCTCTTCCTTTCTAGACTCAGCCTTTAATTCCTAGGATATTTTCTGGTACCCATGTAAGGCAGGATCATCTTTGAGGTTAGGCTATTTACGGGGTCATTACACGGCATTTTTTTCCCCCTCCAATTTATGACAAAAATATCACTTTTTCAATGTGTTCATTTTTGTAAAGTTCGGCATTCGTAGAATAGATTACACACAAAATTTGTGTCATTTGTAAACAATTTAGCATTGAAAAGTTAATACTAAAGACACCAACCCATGCACTTTTCTAAGATAAAAAATAGTTTAAAAGTCACTTTTCTAACAATTCTAATTTTCTGTTTGTTGTGTGTGGGATCTCCTAAAATCTCAGCTAATATAAAGACTAGAGACGTGAAATTTGGTGTGGATACTCCTAACACAATATTATAGGGTCAGGTCTATTTAAAATTACAGTTTATCAAGTAATGTTTTTAAAAAGTTGATTATCTTAAAAACCTACATTTTTGTATTTTTTCAACATACATAAATTTTAATATTCTAAACAAAAAATATTTAGAAACATCTTTGAAGTAAATAAACTAGACCTGACCCTAAGCATAGGTTTAAAGTTCATGAATCAATCATCTGTTTCTCAATACCTCTGTTTGTTTTTGAAATTTTAGCTAAGTACATGTTGTTTTTTTCATCAAAATGGCGGCTGTGGCCATAGCAACCATGTTTTTTTTTTTTAAAATTAAAGTCTACAAATGTAACAACATACATCCCTAGAAATGACCATTATAAAATAATTGGTCTAACATTGTAAATAAAATTAAAAAAATTGTTTTCCCTGTAGTGACCCCTTACTCTAAAACAACACACCCCGATTGGCATTCGAACAATATTTCAAGTCACCCGATAGGCGTTCGAGCGTCCATAAAATGTGCTACCACGGCTCCATTTCTATTGAGCTCTTTCAGTCCCAGGCGGCACGACAAAACATTCCTAAAGAAGGTGGCGGCTTTTGTGAAATAATTACAAGTACATTTCCTTTAAAGTAGTTAAACACTCATTAGATGCGATGATTGGGATAATGAAATTATATTTTTGTCTAACCCAGTTTTCAATTAAAAGTTTTTCTTCGCATTTGCCGTCTATAAACTCCATCGGAAAAGTTCTGGTTGTTCATCCGCTTCTGGACTCTATTCCTGTTCCAGAAACTGAGTGTTGCGTTAACATCCGTTTCACAGGTCTGAGTTATTTGCATGCAGACTGTTGGTTCCTTGCCGCTCAGGCAGATGCACTCCGACTTAGAAGGAAGCTCCCAATTAGTCAACACTTACGACATGCTTTTGGGCAGGAGGTGGGTCTATTTGTTGTTTTCCCCACAAAAAGGTCCCGGAACCCACACTGGAATAAAGTGAAACATGATGACATGATGGCCGAATGCTTATCAGATCACCTCCGAGTGCTGACTGATTATAAAAGATGAATCTTCTGCTTCTTTGCTCACCGGCTGTAAGCCCCGGCCTCTAGTCCTGGTTGTTGGTCCACTTGGACTTTAGCTTTGTGTCAAGGCCTCAGTTTTGCGTGTACATCAGTTTTACTGGCTTATTTGTGTGCAGTTTCTTGTTCCTTGCCGCTCGGGCAGATGCACTGCGACTTCGAAGGATGCTCCTAATTAGTCCATTCATACGACATGCTTGTTGAGAAGGCAGTGGGTCTACTATTGTTCAAACCCCCCTACCCCCTCCCTCACACAATGGGTCTCTGGAACCTTCACATAGAAATATATCCTACACCATATGCTCCCTTCTTTACCAGCATAAAGAGCTTTTTGCTTTTTAACTGACTATTTTATTGCGAACTCCAGCTTAGGCAAAGATCCCCGGGTAGACAGCATTCCATAGTTGTGGATTTCAAGCTGTACGATAGACTTGGTCAATGAGGAAAGCTTTTTTTGTGAGTGACTAGTTCATTCTGTTCTTAGTACGCTTGATTCTATAGGGAGGCGTACACGCCATTTGAAGGTAATAGGTGTCATTCCCAGTACGGTAACGATAGCTGTCGATTATTATGTTGTCTAGTGTGTCCTTCTATCTTTCTGCTTCTGTCTATGAGTGCCAATTAATTTATTTTCGGTTTCTTTATTATATTTAAAAGGTCTCAAGCCCTCCACCCCCCACCCCCCACCCTCAACCTCTCCCCCTTCCCCAACCTTTTCTGTTAATTTATGGGAATTATGTGTAGCACAATAGAACTAGCCAGTCAAATCTCTTTCTTTAATTTTTGTTGTCTTCTAGACACACTCTGAAGGTCCGATATGTTTGTAATTGTTGTTGTGTTTGCTATTCGACCTACGCTTGGTTAATATACATTTATGTACCTTTAGTGCAATTTCAATGGTTTGAGATGTATTTTGTCCGTGTTAGATAGTTATAGATTGTAAGTTATAGGATAGACATTACCAATAAAGATACCTTTAGAAAAGGGGAGGGGGTGGGGGGGGGGGGGTGCCTGGCTTGTCATGTTCTTAGTACACTTGTTTACCCAGAGAGCTAGTTCAGTTGCTTAAACCAGCCGGCGCGGCGACCGGGTGAACAATTTGTCTGTGGTCCGAGTTCAAGCTCGGGGATAGGTAGAAAAGCCACATATTTCTCATATTTACGGTATCTGTCATGGAATCAAGGCCGAAGGGTTGTGATATTCATGGTACCCAGCCAGATGGTTTACGACACATGGTTTTTGTATCAATTAAAGAAAAAAAAAGTTCACTTGTTTCCTTAGCGAGGCGCACGCGCCATTTGGAGGTGGCAGATCCAATTCCCGGCACAGTAACTATAACTTTCGATTTTTATATTGTCTAGTATGTTGTGCTATCTTTCTGTATCTTTCTATGAATCCTAATATGTTGTCTGTTTTTTTAATTATGTATAGTAAATCATTTGGCATTAAGATAGAAATAAGGGTGGCTGTTGCAGAAGACCGATCTGAACGGCGTACAGTCCTCAGCCATAGTGCATTCGCCTGCTCTGCAGTAGATATTGTACTAAAAGAGAAGCGGAGGCAGACTTGAGAAAAAAAAAAACATAGGGCAAATCCCGTCTCTACTGTTGGGTCCCTCTGTTGTCCACACTGCTAAAGAGCTTTCCTGATGAAAAATGGACTCATCGGCCATCATCGTACTCACAATAATTGGTCATTAGGTATTTGGATGTTATATGGTTTTCATCTCTTGTGATAGACGTACGACATTTAGTTTATCTTTGTTTCAGAATTCAAGATGCAGTGTGTGTGGAATTGCCAAAGAACTATACTGAACTGGTTCTACAACTACGGTTACTTCCTGGCCAAGCACCCATATTGTTTTCTGATCTTCCCGATCATCATCTGTGGAGGACTGGCCATTGGATTCGTCAAGCTGGACCCCAAGGAAGGACTTGGTGTGTGCTTTGGTGTTGTTTCTATGTGAATTCCTTGTCTGCATGTTTATTCTTATTTTTGTTTAAACATAAGAAAGCTGATGTTGAATAGTCATAAAGTGAAGCTCTTATGCGGTAGATAACGGTTCGAATCCTGTAACTGAGTAAAAAGCAAATAAAATACAGGAAAGGCATGAGAATCACACAACTCTACTAGAATCCTCGGTAAAATGATAGAAATTTTAAACGGTTGGGGTCAAAAACTACAAACACTAACTTTAACAGCTCGGAGCGACTGTACTAGTCATGAGGCTCTAAATTCTCAAACTTGAGATTCCCTCTTCATGCTCTACGTCTCCATTTTATTTTTTTAATTTTTGTAATTTGAAAAAAAAAAAAATACCAATCCTTAATATTGTCTCTCCCAAAGCACAGTGAAAATCAAAATCTGTTCTTGAATTCGAAGAAAACAAAAATAATGTCCACAGATAAAACTGGCTGTCAATCAAAAATAAGAATGACGAAGAAATTGAAAATGTCACAGACTTTGAAAATGTTGGCTTTACAATAAATAGCAATGGAGACTGTCTGACAGAAATTAAAATGAGGAGGGCCATAGCAATACAAAGATTAAACAGCCTTAAAAGTCTATGGTTAAGCACTAGCAAGGTGATCAAAATTAGAATTTTGAGAGCATGCATCTTCCCTGTAGCAACACACGGATGTGAGTCATGGACTATCTCTGTCCTTAAGAAAGAGAATAGGGGCCTTTGAGCTGAAATGCTATAGAAAGATTCTCATAGTATATTGGACAAAGAAAAGGAGAAATACTGACATCTTGAAAGATCTGAACATTAAGGAAGATTAGCTCATAAACAGTATCCTTTCTCGAAAACTGAAATATTTTGGTCATATCAAGCGCCACGACGGATTGGGAAAAAAAAAATACAGCAGAAAGCATGGTACCAGGAAGTAGGGGCACAGAAGATGAGCACAGAATATACGTGACTTCCTGAGTATAAAAGTGCGTGATGCGAGACATCTGGCAAGAGACCGAGCTTCTTTCAGACAGACCGTGATGAGAGCGACGTTCTGCAAAGGACCTGCTACATAATGATGATGATTAAAAAAAAAAAAAAAAAAAAAAAAATGACATCTAGGCTGAGAAGAAATGTTTTTCAGCTTATTTGTTTACTGCCCATGTCTCAGATGTGTATTTTACAGTTTCTGTACTTGCCCACTCTTTTTTCTCACTAAAGTCCACACATTTTTAATCGGTGACTGTCCGTTGCCATGTCGGGATTTCACAATTTAGATAGTAATTCAATATGAGTAACTTGTACGTGTTTTCCTCACAGAATATCTGTATGCGCCCAGTAGATCTAGAGCTATTGATGACCGAGAGGTTGTCAGGCGGACATTTGTGGACATGTCTGACTACAACTACAACCCGTTTAGTCTCAATGAGTTGATCCCAGAAGCGCAGATCATTTTTAGAAGTAAAGACATACAAGCCATTCTAACAGATGAGGTGATGGAGGAGTTGACAGTAAGTTTGTTTGATGATAAATATGTCTATGCTTTACGTTGAATCTGTATATGTTTGTTCGGTGATAAATATTGTATATGTTTGTTTGATGACGCATATATATATGTTTGTTTGATGATAAATATGTCTATGTTTTACGTTGAATCTGTATATGTTTGTTCGGTGATAAGTATTGTATATGTTTGTTTGATGACGCATATGTATATGTTTGTTTGATGATAAATATGTCTATGTTTTATGTTAAATATGTACATGTTTGTTTGCTGATAAATATGGTATATATTTGTTTGATGACGCATATGTATGTGTTTTTTTGTTGGTAAATTTATGTGTTTGTCTGATGATAAAAATGTATGTTAGTTTGAGGAAAACTATATCTGTTTGGAGATACACAGGGCTAAGTTTGTTTAATCATAAAGATGTCTATGTTTTATGTTGAATCTGTATATGTTTGTTCGGTGATAAACATGGTATGTGTTCGTTTCCTGACGCATATGTAGACATATGTTCGTTTGGTGATAAATATATGTGTGTGACTGAGGATAAAAATGTATGTTTGTTTGAGGAAAAATATATCTGTTTGAAGATACTCATGGCTAAAGAAGTAAAGATCCCTTTTTCACGCCTTTTGGCGCATCGGGCATATGGGCAGAGCGTCCCATATTATAGACCATCAGCACTCTGTGGGTAATGTGGTCAGCATTACGCTGGCTGTCTTTAATTTCCCGATTGGTGGTAGTGAGGAGGAGGGGAGGTGGGGGTGGGGGAGGATGAGATTACCATGGTACCCATTTTAGGCTGGGTCGACCTGCGACGTCCCATACCACGACAAAAATCCACGCAGCCTGCAGTGGGTTTCGATCGTGGTATGCTGGCTCACGAGTCAGACTCCCAACGCCTTAGCCACGGACACCGCTGATACTCATGGCTAAGTTTGCTTGATCATAAAGATGTTTATGTTCGTTTGAAATAAACATTACTAAATTTGATTGATGAAAAATATGTCTATGTCTGTTTGGAAATACTGATCTCTATGTTTGTTTAGAGAAAAATATGTCTATGTATTTTTGATAATAAACATGTTTAATTTAGTTGAAGGAAAATATGTCTAGGCTAGTTGTTGATAAATATGTGTATGTTTGTTTGATAATTATGTCTATGTTTGTGTATTATTAAATATGTCTATCAAAGCAATCTTTCCCTGTTGTGAGTTTAAGCTAACAAGATTTGTCCAGAAAGAACGACTTGGTCATGAACATGCGTATGCCTTTGTGAAATAGACCGTTACTTTTGAGCCTAGCTTGCATAGCACAACGCACGACTTCATAATTCCAGCGACATTATAACGCAATCAGAAGAGTAACCGACGATCTTCACGGCTAAACAGTGTCATCGAAGAAACGAGCAAACAGCCCTCTCTCTCTCTCTCTCTCTCTCTCTCTCTCTCTCTCTCTCTCTCTTTCTCTCTCTCTCTCTCTCTCCTCTCTCTCTCTCTATATATATATATATATATATATATATATATATATATATTATATTTTCTCTCTCTCTCTCTCTCTCTCTCTCTATATATATATATATATATATATATATATATCTTCTCTCTCTCTCTCTCTCTATATATATATATATATATATTTCTTCTCTCTCTCTCTTTCTCTCTCTCTATATATATATATATATATATATCTTCTCTCTCTCTCTCTCTCTCTCTCTATATATATATATATATATATATATATATATATATATATATATATATATATATATATATGCGTGTGTATTTTGGCTGTGTTCTAATTATGAACGATGTTAAGGACTAAAGGATTCGGGGAAAAGGGGGGGGGGAGGAGGGTGAGGGGCAGTTTTGTGATATCACTATTGAACAATAAAAAATCAATTACCAGTGATTCCAGTCATTTAAGTTCTGTAACCAGGTCTTTCTTGGTCTGCCTCTTTTCCTCTTTCCCTTTACTGAACCGTGCAGGATTCTTTTTAGGATGCCGTTAGATCTTATGACATGTCCATACAATTTCATTTTTCGTCTTTTCACTGTTGTGAAAAAAAAAATGTACATAATAAATAAACAAATTAATTAGCAAGACGTCTTGTATTCTGTTCTCCACAGCACTTCTACAAAACGGTGACTACAATGAATGTGACAACAATGGGAAAAACCATCACTTTCGACGATGTCTGCAAGAAGCAAAGCAGTGGTAAATGCGTAACATACGGAGATTTCGTCTTTGAGAAGGGTTTCCTGTAAGTTTATTTTGAGGTCATTCTCTGGGTTCTGGGACCCGATTTGTGGTAGTGAGGAGGAGGGGTGGGTGGGTGGGGGGGGGGGGGAAATGAGGTTAAAAAAGAAGAGTAGATCTTCTGCCCCCTAACAAGCATGTCATAAAAGGTAACACACCAGAGGCATTTCTTCGAAGTCGGAGTGTAGGCTGGCTGGCTTTTTTACCCCACCAGGACATCACACAAGCGATAAACACCCGATGACACAAAGTGCCACCATGCGGATGAGGATCACCGTGGAGAGCTCCCAGAAACCGCGTTCAGACATTTGGCCATATATATGGTCTGCCTATATTGCGGCCCCTGGCAAAAGCCAGAGTGGGGCTTCAAATAACAAAAAATAACGTCCTAAGAAGGACGTAAGGAATAAGGGTAATCGGAGTGTATCTGCCTGGGAAGAGAGGAATCAACAGTTTACATACAAGTAAGCCAGATATGTAAAACGCATGTGCATGCAAAACTCAGGTCATGGAACAAGACTAAAGTACAGAATTGGACACACAACTGGAGTTTACAGCCGGGGAAGGCTAAATGGAAGGAGAACAAATTTATTTACAACGATCTTTCTGTTTGTACTAACATCTTAGAGTGGTGTAGTTAGATTGGTTGCGGTAGTCGGGTCTTGGGGTGGGCGGGGTGGGCGGTGGGGTTTAAGGCAGTTTCGTTAGTGCAGACTCTACGAACTTTGCAAAACTTTACAGGCTAAGATTATGATTTTTTGCTCCCCACATACAATTTTCCGTAACGTAACCGAGAATTTGAATGAGAATCTTCTGCATCAGAGCCACAGCTTTCTAAGTGTAGTGATTTGTTTACCATCACAGCTCCTGGCTGTTGTGTGGGTTTTTTCTAGGCAAATTTACGTCTAGTAGTTTGCCATTGCTTTTTGGTCGGTCGGCTTTCTTGATATCACTGTGGAAACCAACGCGAGGCGCATGACCCGCAGCTGGAATCGAACCCGGCATCCCGGCATGTTTAAAATTCAGAGGATCGACTTACTACTAGCAACAGGCTTTATCCGGTATGGTTTAGTTTTTTCCCGCCAAAAATATAAAACACCTCTGAGATAAAATGTCGTTTATTAGTAATCTTCCTTGATGTGCGGATCTTTTAGAATGTTATATTTATGTTCTTTTTAGCCCATGGTATTCAAAAAACCTTTCTAGAGCATTTCCGTTCAAATTTCTATATCATTTTTTCTTATGTAGTCCACGATCCATATGTTGCTACAGGAAAAAGGGACGCCTTCAAAACTCTATGATTTCATTAACTTTAAACTTTAATGCTTTTTATGCTGTTAAATACAACATATTCATGGCACCATAGAGCACTGAAAAGTCCTGTACTTTCTCATAAGTTTACATCTTAGCTGAGAGGTTTATTTCATCCGTTGTTTTAAAATCAATCATTATCGTCAACACTATGGGTAGTCACCCATTACTGGTCGTCTTAAATAATTACTGTAATCACAGATCATATCAGTGTTCTTTTCATCTTTTTTTTTCCATAATATTAAATCTTCTAAGTAATTTCCTGTTTGCTTTTCACTTGCTCTTTTACTCTCATATTTGCCGGTTATTATTATATTTTCGAGCTGGGATAAGGAAACCAAAAAACATATTGACTCTCTATGTTCTAATACACCGAATTTGTTTGTGGTTGTCATTTTGTTTGAGTTTTAGTCAATTTTTTTACCCGCACTTGAATAAAAAAAAAAAAATCCCACTTATTAAACAGTCATACGGATCCTGAGCCTACGTCTAATTTGTCTAATCCGTTTACGGTTTTCCTGATTTAGTTTAAGGTTTGAAGTTTGAACAATGCACCAACATTATGGCACACGGGTAGTCACCCATAAGTGCTCTGTTCTTCATCTAACTCAAGTCTGAGTCCAAGGAAGCTTAACACAGTGCACACGCTCTGTAGCACAGGCGAGGATCCTGACATATTTTCGGTAGATTTTTAACTCCAAATTTTGCTAGGGCAGCGTTGAAAGGCTACTTATTTCGATTTCCAACTGCCAAGGGATTTTTTTACGTGCGCAACAATGCACACGGGCGTCCGATCTCACTATCCAGAGGGAGTTACTAGAAGTCCAAGTCAACGTGAAAAAATTCCAGCTCTTACCGTCTTTTGTTTGATGACTACTTAGTATATTGTTGTTGCTTTCCATCTATTTTTTGTCTTTTCCAAAAGAAAACATTTATTAATCTACCACGCGTGTAATATGTTGTTTAACTTCCTCTCACAGAGACAAGGTCAAAGCAGAGAATGTTACTTACCCTACCTGGGCAGAACAAACTGGTACTGATATGACACTCATCTTCGCTGAAGTTGGTCTCAGTCTCTCCGATGACATGGCGGAGGACATGGGGGATACTTTATCTGCGATTCTGGTATCGGCCGGGTCGCTGAAGCTAACTTTTCCCCTAAAGGGAACTGACGAGGCTATGGCTTGGGAGACGGCATTTGCTGACCACATTCGGGAAACGAAATTCAAAGGTGTCGAGGTTAGTGATTAATTTATGTGCTCATTTCAAACGATGTTCACACGTGTAGACATAAATTATTAAATTATTTGCTTGTTTCAAACTAAGTTCACATGCGTAGATATAAATCATTAATTGATTCACTAATTTCAAACACCGTTCACAACTGTAGACATACATAAACAAATTATTTGCTTTTTAAAACATGCGTAGATAAACATTATTAATTGATTCACTAATTTCAAAAGAAACTCATGACCGTGGATTTAAGTTATTAATTGATTCACTAATTTCAAACACCGTTCACAACTGTAGACATAAATTACTAAATTATTTGCTTGTTTCAAACTAAGTTCACATGAGTATATAAAAATCATTAATTGATTCATTAATTTCAAACACCGTTCACAACTGTAGACATAAATTACTAAATTATTTGCTTGTTTCAAACTAAGTTCACATGAGTAAATAAAAATCATTAATTGATTCAGTAATTTCAAACACCGTTCACAACTGTTGACATAAATTACTAAAATTATTTGCCTATTTAAAACATTCGTAGATAAAAGTTAAAAATTGATTCACTAATTTCAAATGAAGCTCATGACCGAGGATATAAGTTATTAATTTATTCGCTCATTTCGAACGATGTTCACAGCTATAGCTTCACGTTAATAATTTGTTTGCCAATTTTAAACGCTGTTTACAACTTTAGATATACATTTTAAATGTATCTGCTAATTTAAACTACATTCACAATTACAGATATAAGTCACGAATTTATTTACTTATTGACAACTGTAGTTGAAAGGTAATAATTGATTCCCCAATTTCAAACGAGGTTCACAATTGTAGATGTTAGTTATTAATTTATTCGCTAATTTAAAAAAAAAAAAAGTTTACAACAGTGCATAGGAATTAATAATCCAGTCGTTAATTTTAACCGACGTTTCAGTTGTAGACGTAAGAGATGGATTTATTCGCGAATTGCAAACGAAGTTCCCAGCAGCAGATGTCAAGATATCGTCTTCCACGAATTCAATCTTTTTGGGTATTTAGTGGAGTTGTATAAGCTATATAGCCATCGGCACACGGTGGCTGATGTTGCCTACATGACGGCGGTCGCCTTAACTTCCCAGGACTCTTCTTGGTACCCATTAAAAGCAAAATCTGAGAGTCATATTTAATTTGGAAAAATGTCAGGCTCCATTCTGATTTAAACCCATGACTTTCGGATCCGCAGGTGAGCATCTAGCTGCTACACCAAGGATACTCCCCACTGCATATAAAGAGACTCATTTAATAGCACATTTCAAACGAAATTCACAGCCGTAGATGTAAATTAATAATTTCCTTACAACTTAATACAAAGTTTACAACTGTTGTTGTTAGTGATTATTTCGATCGCTAATTTAGAACGAAGTTCACAACTTAACTGTAAATATAAACAATTGATTCAATCAATGATTTCTACTAAATTTCACATCTGTGGACTATGTCCAAAAAAGCTCAGTACAGTGCACAGGCTCTGTAACACCGGCGAGAATCCTGAAATACTTAGGGTAGATTTTTAACTCCAAATTTTGCCTGGTGGCGCCGTTAGGCTTCTCTTGTCGATTTCCAACTGCCAAGGGACTTTTCGCTACCCAGAGACCAGGGGGAATTACTAGAAGTCCAAATCCACGTAAAACAAATGCCAGCCTTACGGGGGATTGAACCCGGAACCTCTAGTATTCGAGGCGGACATTATGAATCGAGACCACGCAGCACCTTCATTCCATTAAAAAAAGCAAAACGATCTTAGTCGATACGGCATACAGCTGTTTATATAACGTACGAGTGTGTCCATATGTGTGAGTGTCTGTATATGTTTTTTTTTTTAAATCTATGTATCGATATATGTTATGTATTGAATTCAAGAAAACTTCTTGACTTATCTGCCAGGTGGCATACAGTACCTCAAACTCCATGAGTGAAGAACTAGAGAAAGGCACACAGGGTGACATACATTTCTTCGTTCTGACCTTCACATTAATGATTGCGTTTGCTTCTATCGTCAGTTCAGGTAACAATTCTTTTTACATCTTTTTATTTTATTTGGTACTTAAAAAATTATTACACCTGAACAAACATGGTAGGTAAATCTACAGTAGCTATATTTAGCACGGTTTATGATTAAGGTTAAGGTTAACAAAACACCTTTTATATTTAAAAAAAAAAAAAAAAACAACAACTGCAAAAGAAACATTTACATATAACATGACATTTTAAAACTTTTCAGGGTACTCCCGGATTTCTTTGTTTTGGTGAATTAAAACTGAAGAACCTTCCCCCTTTCCATAACTAGTAATAGTTAAGCTCATTATTTGTCAAGAAAGTCATTACTGTTTAGTTAAGCTCCTTATATTTGTATTATTGGATAGTCCAGTTGGTTATGTCTCTGCCTTTTCATTACGGCAGATCTGAGCTCAATATAATTATCATCATCACATGCCCTGCCGACTGGCGTAGGCGTTCATGCATCTCCACAGATCTCTATCCCTTGTTCTCCAGATCATTTAAAAAAAAAATGTTCGTTTCAAGTCAAGACTTATATGTAAAGTCACCATGTGCGTGTTTGTGTGTGTGTGTGTGTGTGTGTGTGTGTGTGTGTGTGTGTGTGTGTGTGTGCGTGCGTGTTTGTGTGTGTGTGTTTGTGTGTGTGTGTGTGTGTGTGTGTGTGTGGCTCTTTTTAAACATTTGTTTATAATCAGTTAATCACAATATCAACTTCATCGTAAACGAATCCTTCCATAGTTGCACCCCCCCCCCTTCTCCTCCTCCCTTCCCCCCCCCCCCCATGACAGCGAAACCACACAGTTGAGAAAAGGAAAAGCAAATTGAAACAGACTGCAGTCCGATATTATGCACCCATCCATAAGGTGGCTGTCAGAAGTACCAACACACATAGTCCACCACTATTACAGTTTATCCTCGAGGTCATGTGAATTACTAAACAAAATTTGAAAAGAGCATAACATAAACATTACGCTAACAAAACAGAGGTCATAACAATAGCTAAAGTAGACAAAACAATAAATATCTAGCTTACAGAAAACCTTCTGAAACAAATCAAGAACTTCAAATGCTTAGGAAGCATACTATCATCAGCTGGTAAAACAGAAGATGGGGTTGGTGACAGATGCATCAAAGCAAACCAACTCGAAGTGCAGATGGCACCAATACATGTATCAATTGAAACCAAAAGAGCACTCTATAACTTAATCTTTTTGCCAACCCTGTGTTGTCAGTGCCAGAACTGGACATTGACAAAAAAAGATAAAAGAAAAATTACAACAGATGAAATGAGACTCTGCGAAGGGCTCTCAATATAATACCAAGAGATAAGATTAGAAGCAAGGAAATAGGAAGGAAAATGGATGTAGCAGCACCTCTGGATTTCATTACAAGACAACAGGTGAAATGGTTTGGCCATATGACCTGGATGTCAGCAGACAGTATACCACAGCAAGCAATGTCGTACAGACCAGGCGGTAAGCGAAGAAGAGGCCGACCCTGCAAGCATGGGACAGAGAGCATTACAGGGGCCCTGGAAATCGCACAAACTGGCACTTTACCTAAATTATAAATCATCTTGTCACTGCAAGGTACCAGATAATCAAGATGGGATGAAATCAGGAGCCAGTAATCACAAGAGATCGGCAGTTGCACACGCAATATCGCATAAGACTTCATGGCAATATAGCCTAACACTTCCAAATCTGCAGTTCACAACACCAGCCAAGCTGTCATAGTCGAAACGCAGTCAGAAAAATCAGCAACTCAAATTGTCCCCACAGGCACTCATCTCATTAGCTGGGCAGCGGAACTATATACTTTCAGTCTATATATATGGGAGGCAATGCAGGTCAGCCATATCTAGAAGCCAATAATTTTCCAAAACTAAAACCGTTGGCTACTTATCCGTCATACTGGACGATTTTATTTATACATTTCATCAACATCATTAATCAGCAAGTCCTTTACAGAACGTCGCTCTCTCCACTGCACGCCTGAAATTACCTTTTACCTAGCCAGCTCCCCAACCCAATGTGCTTTCAATGCCAATGCATCTTCAGTGGCCTGTATCATTCTTCGCAGAGGTCAACGTCTGCCTCGCTTACCACAGACAGCACCTCCATCACAGTCTTTTCTAAGCCACCACGGTGCTTGATGTGGCCAGAATACTTCAACTTTTGAGACAAGACGCTGTTTTGAGCCAGTTTTTCTTGATTTCAAATATTCAAAATCTGTGACATTTTCTATTCCTTAATTTTCGATTGTGAAATTTGGTTTGTGTGCTGTATTTACTGAGGGCATGATTTTTTTTTTTCATTAAAAAAAATAATAAATTTCTTTTTTTGCTATGTTTTTGACAGCCAGAATTAATTTTTGTACACTGTTGGAAAGGAGAACTGTGTCGTCTGCATATCTGAGTTCTAGGACAGGATTACCTCCAATTTTTAGCTGATCAAAGCTCTTACATGCCTCATAGCTAATTTCGTCTCATAATATTCTCAGCATATATGTTAAAAATTCTCCAAGTAAAGAATGCGGCTCTTTCTCACTGCTTTCTGCACTTAAAACCGCTATGATGTTTCACCAGCTACTCTGACTGCTGCTTGTTGTTCACAATAAAGAGATTGTATTAAGTGCACCAGGTATTTTAGAAATCCTATGCCTCTCATTATATGCCACAGTGTATGGTATTGCATACAGTCGAATGCCTTGCTGTAGTCTATGAAACAAGTTTGAAGATCCATCTTGTATTCTCTGCGCTTCTCTAGGATGATTCTGACAATAAGCATATATATGATCTCTTGTTCCTCTGCCCCGTCTAAAACTCGCGTTGTGCTTTTTGTAATTCATTTTTCAGTTTTTTCTCGATTCTCCTGAAAATGATTTGTAGAAGAAGTTTGCTGGCATGACTAATTAGAGCTATAGTACGTTAATTGTTTCATAATTTGAGATTTCATTTTTTCGGGAAGGGAATAAAAATTAATCCTTTTCACGCATCGGGCCAGTCAGCACTCACATCCGTATGTTGCTGCTAGGAAGATTTTAATTTTGATTTCCGTAATGAGTTTCCTGGGATCAGAATGTGATCGTTTATTTTGCTGTGTAGACATCTGAATATGAGAAGTATTACGACATGTATGTACCTTGCAGGAGGAGACTGCGTGTCTTCACGTGTGCTGCTGTCCTGCACGGGAGTTGTGGGAGTTCTCTTCGGGATTATCGGAGCTTTTGGCTTGGTGACTCTGTGTGGAGTGAACTTTGTTAGTATCGTTGGCACCATGCCGTTCCTCACTTTAGGTAAGTATATAAGCCAAAATATTGTTAGCATATATAATTAATTCGCCTTCTTAAATTATAAATTTCATGTCACGCCAATGTTTGACACATTTTTCGCTATTTTGAAGCCCACCCTGGTTGTTGCCAGGGGCCCTAATATAACCTTACGATTGAAAGGGGTTTCCGGGACCTCTCCACAAGTAATCCTCATCCGAACGGTGGCACTTTGTGTCACCGGGTGTTTACCGCTCAGTGTGATGTCCTGGCGAAGTAGAAAGTCAGTCAGTCAGTCTAGCCAGTTTCTCATGTCGGTTACATGGTCCCCATCTTTAGTGGGGTAGAAAGAGTGTGTGTGTTTGTGTGTGTGTGGGAGGGGGGGGGGGGGTAGACCACTGCCCTCTAACAAATATTTCGCAAAAAGCTACTTACTATTGCAGCCTAGCTTTAAACCACAATACATCGCGGCAACCATCCTTTTAATGGCTAACGCAGAAAAAAAGGCATATTTTGCCTATCTCGTCTGTTACTCTCAGACTTTTATATTTCTACTCATTATTCATTTTCTCAGCTTCACTTTCACGGTCTTTCTTAGTTCATCCCTCAACAGCACTGTCTGCTGTTGCCACGTACTTCCGTCTTTGGTTTTCAAAATGAGCACCTGGCAAACCTCTACCGAAACATGAAACAGCAACTGTAGTGGAAAGCACACTATAAATTAAATGGATATTTTCGTTAGCACTTCTTCATTAGCTTAAAAATTGTTACTTTAAAAGATTTGATTTCATGAATAAAATGCTTTCTGTACTTTTGTTTGGTTCTGGTTTAGCTGAAGATCGTTTTGCACATTGTAAAAGTAAGCCAAGGACACATTTCCACGCCTTTTGGTGTATCAGGCGTTTAGTAAAGGTTAAAAGATGCTTTGTTCTGTGATTCGCCAGAAGCGAAGTGCATGGGCTTTCACGGCAACAACCAAAGCGAAAGTAGTAAAAGAAGATAATGGAGCTTTTGCTTGTACCACTAGGAGCATGACATTGGAGGTCATGGATGTGACAAAGGCCATAGAAAGGCGGAATACTCAAGAATTCACTAATGCATGTTCGCTCAGCGACTCAATGAGCAGGCTACAGAAGATCAAAGCGGGGTACATACGGAAACATTGGCTCTATATGATATAGCACGCAGCGTTTCGCAAGATCACCTTTATTTTGTTCCAAGGAATGCATGTGTGAAAGGCAATGAGAGAGCAGAAGTTTTGGCTGGCACTGCGACTATCAGGAATGGGCCCTCTATGGACAGGAGAGACACCATCAATGCCATACGAGATACTAAACTCTCTAAGCCTTTCAGTTTCCTGGAAAATGATTTCTCACTGCATCACCTGCGTGTAACACCAGTTGGAGCTGCAAGACAGAAAAACATCACGGGAGTAATCCGTCGTTACATCAACCAGAACAGAATGTGAGTTGTTAGCCTAAAAACACTTTGAAACATACTCAGGAGGAGATCGGAGCGCTTATGGCCGTGTTCGATGTGCGATGAAAATGATCTATAAAATAAACAATGAACAAAGCGCCCTTTTCCACGCCTTCATGCATTTAGGCCTACAGGACTGGACCTATATTTTATAGACCAATCAACACTCGATAGGTGATAGGCTCAGCATCACGCCGACGCCCTTTACTTCACAGGACTTTATAAGGCTGGGTCAGCCCGGCAGCCACGGTTATTTTTAAAACATAAGTCTGGCTCCGTCAGGACCCAAAACCCACTACCTTTGGACCCACAGGCCAGACTCTAGCCGCTCCACCACGACGTTCTCCCGTCACGCATATATTACTGGAACTTTAGTTTTATTATGAAAAGGTATCTTACCAGACGACAAGTAGAACCAGCAGGCCGCACCGTCTCCAAACACCAACCACAAGTAAACGTTGCGGCTTCAGTACTTTCATCAGCACATTAAATAATTCTACAATACCTCTATATCTTTCTGGCTAGTAGAATCACTGACATGTATGTAGCCACCGGAAATAAATATTGGTCAGAATAAAATAGAAAGGCACGGACAGGAACTTAAAACTGTTAGATAAAACTGTGTTGAGTGGTAAGTCTTCGGTTAATTCGACGTTAGACTCCCCAGCCCCACCCATATACACACTAGTTCACTTTTGATTGGTAGTTCCTGAGCCCTGTGTCCTTCGCACATGGTTACGGGGGTGTTCCGCAATGCCGTTGAAATTGCATGTTGTATATTTCAGCACGCCAGCGTTTTTAACACTCAAAAAACATTAAGAAACTGGATCTAACACAACCTCCACTAGAGAGCGCTGCAGCCTATGTCTTAGGCATTCTAAAAGGTAAAAGGTAAAGTCGGGAGATGTGAACCAGCGCCATTGCACACGGTTATAAACCATTAGTACTCTGCCCCCAGTACGGACAGCTGATAAGAATTGTCCACATGTGTCGCCGTTCGCACGTAACTCTGTTACTTTCTCGGAATGAAAACGTAAATGCAACACATCGCAGAAACTTTTTTTTAATGTCCTTCCTTCCTAGACAATGTCACTTAAATTCAGATACTCTCCCCCCCCCCCCCCCCCCACTTCCTTAACACCTTAACTCCGAACCCATCTCTCCCTAGTCATCGATTAACCCTGCTCAACGTAGATAATTCCTCGTGTGGGTTCTAGTGCTCCATTTCAAGAGGGGGGAAAAAAAAAAGATACATTGCTTTCATATCAAAGTCACAAAACAGTGTGTGATAACCCCACCTTGTATTTTGTTGACAGTGACATAGTTATAAAACCATTTGTGATAATCTTACTGTGTATTTTTTTCTTTAGGTGAAAAATTCATTTTTGATAACCTCACTGCGTATTCTGTTGACAAAGACATAAAACAGTGTGTGATAACCCCACCTTGTATTTTGTTGACAATGACATTGTCATAAAACAGTGTTTGAAAACCCCACCTTGTATTTTGTTGAAAATGACAGTCATAAAACAGTGTGTGATAACCTCACCTTGTATTGTTTTGACAATGACATAGTTATAAAACCATTTGTGATAATCTTACTGTGTTAAGGTCTTACTGTGTTACTGTTCTTATGGTCAAAAACGTTTTTAATCACCTCACTGTGTATTCTGTTGACAAAGACATAAACAGTTTGTGATAACCTCAGACTGCATTCTGTTAGAAGATTAGGCAACGGGTCAATATGATGGCATAAGGTATAACCCACAAGTGCTCCGTTCTACTTCTGACTCAAAATCCGTTTGTGATAACCTCAGTGTGTGTTATATTTACAAGGTCATAAAACCCTTTGTGGTAACCTCACTGTGTATTGTATTGACAAGGCCATAAAACCGTTTGTGATATCACTGTGTATTGTATTATCGAGGTCATAAAACCGTTTGTGATAACCTCACTGTGTACTATATTGACAAGGTCATAAAACCGTTTGCGATAACCTCAGTTTGTGTTATACTGACAAGGTCATAAAACTGTTTGTTATAACCTCACTGTGTATTGTATTGTTAAGGTAATAAAACCGTGTGTGATAACCTCAGTGTGTGTTATACTGACAAGGTCATAAAACTGTTTCTGATAACCTCACTGTGTATTGTATTGACAAGGTCATAAAACAGTTTGTGATAACCTTACTGTGTATTGTATTGTCAAGGTCATAAAACCGTTTGTGATAACCTGACTGTGACAATATTGGCAAGGTCATAAAACCGTTTGTTATAACCTCACTGTGTATTATTTTGTTAAGGTCATAAAACCGTTCGTGATAACCTCAGTGTGTGTTATATTGAAAAGGTCATGAAACCGTTTGTGATAACATCACTGTGTATTGTTTTGACAAGGTCATGAAACCGTTTTTGATAGCCTCACTGTGTGTTGTATTAATAAGGTCATAACACTTTATGTGATAACCTCACTGTGTATTGTATTGACAAGGTCATAAAACCGTTTATGATGGCCTCACTGTGTGTTGTATTGACAACGTCATAAAACCTCATGTGATAACCTCACTGTGTATTGTATTGACAAGGTCATAAAACCGTTTGTGATAACATAACGCTGAATTCTGTTGTCAAAGTCCTAAGACCTGTTATTGTTTCTGAATCTCCAGGTATAGGAGTGGATGACATGTTTTTGCTGATGAGCAGCTGGAGCGAGACACTGTCAATAACTGACCTAACGATCCCAGAACGTATTGGAACAGTCTACAGGAAGGCAGGCATTGGTATCACTATCACTTCAGGTTACTAGAAGCTTCCCATTTGTTCTCATTTGTTCTCATTTTGTCTCATTTCAACTCATTAACTGGCACTAAAATGAGAAATATAGGGTTTGGAGGAAACGAGGAGGCCCAGAAAACTAATGCGAAAGTTGATGAGAGAAGCGAAAGGTACTGGACAGGCTGCCATGTATGGAATCGAAGTGATTGTAGAACATAGAATTGAATTTTGAAATAAGCTGTGGGCTATGTGACAAACAACAGTATAATCAATGAATGACAAGGTGAAAACTGTGAGGTATAAAGGAATTTCTTTTTGAACGCCATCTCTCTTTCTCTCTCTCTCTCTCACACACACACTCTGTCTGTCTGTCTGTCCGTCCGTCCGTCCGTCCGTCCGTCTGTCTGTCTGTCTGTCTGTCTGTCTGTCTGTCTGTCCGTCCGTCCGTCCGTCCGTCCGTCCGTCCGTCCGTCCGTCCGTCCGTCCGTCCGTCCGTCCGTCCGTCCGTCCGTCTGTCTGTCTGTCTGTCTGTCTGTCTGTCTGTCTGTCTGTCTGTCTGTCTGTCTGTCTGTCTGTCTGTCTGTCTGTCTGTCTGTCTGTCTGTCTGTCTGTCTGTCTGTCTGTCTGTCTGTCTGTCTGTCTGTCTCTCTCTCTCTCTCTCTCTCTCTCTCTCTCTCTCTCTCTCTCTCTCTCTCTCTCTGCGTTTTACGTTACAGTTAACGTTAAAAACTAAAGGTCAAACCACACTTTTATCAAATGTAAAAATGAGGTCAGCTTAAGCTTCATACGATATGACGCCCTTGTCACTTTGGTTGAGCGCCTATACTCCAATGAATAAAGCTGGGGATTGGAAGAAGGAGGAAGGGCTTGCGGAAGAAAACAACAGGTATTAAACATTCTTATGTTTTGTTTTTTAAACACATGTTATATCTTTCAGGAATCGCCGTGATGTAGCGGCTAGATGCTCGTCTGTCGGTCCGAAAGGCGGTAGGTTCGGGTTTTGATGGATCGAGCTTTCTTAAAAAATGACTTTGGCTCCCGCGTAGACCCAGCCTTGAATGTGAACCCGGTCCAGTTCCGGAAAGTAAAGGCGGCCAGTGTGATTCTGACCACATTATCGACCAAGTGCGGTCTATAAAATTTAGGTCTCGCCTTATAGACCCTATGCCAAATACGCCTGAAGGCGTTGCCAAAGGTCCGTTACTTTTATTATATGTATTTACATCCAGTACATTTTTATTCTTACGCACATAATTAGGGCTTAGATTTTCGAACTCTGCCCTAAAACATTTAAAAAGTGGCAGAGTTTCCCCCGACCACCACCCTTATGTTTTCTTTGAGTCAACACTCATGCAAGGTCATGTAGTGTCGGTATTGCTGTTATTTCACTAAATTATATCTAATTTATATTTTTTCAGTGACAGACTTCCTGGCGTTTGCAATT